AATGCCTCCTCTACTGCGATAGTTATATCGCTGCCTCAAAAATGCAAGTCCAAATCTCTTAGTACACAAACCTAAATCTGGCAGTTCGCCACTCTAATAGGAAATTTGGAAACCTACAAGATTAGTCTATGACCGGCTTAGTGTAACGTATTAATATGATAGCTGCTATTTGTGCACCTCGCGTGGTTACTACTTTACCTTCCCCATCCTGCCAGTTTACAAGCCATTCTTGTCAAACTTTTGTTTTATTTGGTTATTGGAATGCAGATATATCCGCCGTCGACTGTAAGCCAGTTGAGGTTCATGTTGTACAATTTGTATTCCATGGGATTGCGGTTGACATTTTGAGACCTATGGGGTTGCAAACGTGAAACACATCTGTTCGTACCACCTACGAAGTAGCCCTTGGTATTTTTCTGAGTAGCGGTTCGAAAAATAAAATGGTACTAAAACAGATCAACTTGACTTACTGTATTTATTCTGGCAACATTCTGTGGTATCACACAACACTAGATCAACTAGATTTTGTTCATTTAATTTAAGTTTAGCTGGACTGTCGACGTCTAATTGATAAAATACGTTCAAAACTCTTCATGTGATAAACCATATTTCCACAGTTGCCACAAAATTTAAGAACCACTTACTAACACAGCTTCCTCCTTTTTTATTGTCTCTACAATACACTTAAAATACAAAAATATTTGAACATTTTGTTACGATGAAATGGTTCAGTGTTGACATTTAGGTCGTTTGTGACAAGTTAACTTTCGAAATGCCATTGCGGCCCAAAAAGTTCGAAACATTGCATCTGAGTGTATGCTCCATCAAACGCAATGCGTTGTGTTAACATGAGTGTTTACTTCACATACATATGCTTTTGTTTGATACAACGCCAGACCTGTCGAACCCCTGGGTTGGTCTTGGCGTTTGTTACAAAACAACGGTCATCCTGTTGTTTCAGGTGGAGGACATCAAGTACTGGTCATCGTATAAATTGACCGCTTCGATGCATTTTGATATCACATTTGAAATATAAAGTTCACGTGTTTAGCGGAATATGATCAGTGCACCGGCATTTAAACTATATCAAGTGTCTTTTAACGGTCCATTTGGTCTAATTCAAACCAAAACATTAGAATGTTGAGCCTTTTCTGTAACTACTACTAATGCTTTCCTTACACAGAGTGGGCAGTTGCTGTTTCTTTGAGTTTAACCTGCGTCTTCCCATCCCTTGGGGGGATATAATATAACATTTTTGGTGGAAATCGATAAAACCGATGCATCAGATAAAATGCTGTGGCACATTCCTCGACCGCCACTAAAGAATCGCATAATTCTTGGCCCGAATTCATTTTGCTTCCAGCGATTCATGTTTGAGAACATCCAGCGCTTTGCACCAAATTGGCTCACGTAACACGAATTAAAATGCCTTAAATTATCACTTTGATATGCAGCAAACGATGGTTTATCTACCGCTTTAGGTTTCCTTCACTGAAATGACACGTTTGTTTATCTCAACGACCATAACAAATTAAAGTAATTAAGACGAGAGAAGTCTTACCCACGCAATCGTTCACAGCGTACACTCGGCAGTTATCTAAAGAGCAAGCATTTGTGATACACTTTGCGTCTAATCAAACTAATTGATCGTCTATTGTGAATGCATTATCAGGGGGTTAGGTCAATGAGGTAGGTTTTGACACATTGTACAATAGGAATGGAAAATTCCACCTGCCCACACGAAAAGGTCTACGGACACCTGAGTTGCTCTTGAATCTTGAGACTGGAAGGGACACTTCATTCCATCTCAAGTGAATTCAGAAATCATATCACAATCTTATGCGACGGGGCTAAAGCTTGTCTGACGTACCTTCCTCACACATTGGTTTGAGCTTCGTATGCACAGTTATTTACCAACAGTGGATGAATAGTAGACATAGGAAATTGTTTTAATGCACAAAAAACACTGTTATGTATTTTGGAGGGCATTATTAGTATGTCTATGGAGAACAATACCATCACAACTATCAGCAAATTCAATCTCCAACTCATTCAATGGATGGTTAATTTTGGAACAAACTATGTGATGAATTGACACCGCGATCGTCTTCCCCATTGACAAGCGGAATAAGGGGCAACCGATCGCTCTATTCAATGCATGCCTCCAACAAAGCAAATGAAAGGGTTTATATTAAATAATCGTGGTTTCTCCGCCGACTGCTGTTCCAACACTCCACCGCCGCTTTTAGTAAACCCTGGTTCGGTGTGTCCTACAAGTATACGCATCCATGGCCAGCACCTCGAGCGACTTTCTTTGTCGTAGGATGCATCGGGCGTTTCTGACTTCACCTGACGGACCAAACACTTGAGACAAACATTCAGAAATCTGTAATTTCAAGTGGACCAAAGTGGCGCCGAGAATACGCTAAATTACACACTCAACATCATCTTAGTTATTAGCTCCAAACCGGTCAGAGTGACCAGATGCCCGATTACGGGATAACAGTTCATGTAGTTCACACCGTCCTTCGTTTTCCACACATCCACTCATGCCCTCTTCAACAAAGGATTTGATTAACCGACACGTTGAACGAAATCCCGTTTACACGCATCCATGAAGACGGTGCTAAAATTTGAACCAGAATACTCAAAGAGAGCCGACTGTTCGACTAACGATCCAGGGCGGGTGGCCAGGAACCAGGCCAGGAGGAAAAGCAAAATAGAACCCGTTGTGTTTGAATGCAAAACTCATTCACCCCAACCGTATGAAAACAGCAAGGGAGACCCTGTTTACTGGTTGCGAGGTCACCGGTCATTCAGGATACAGGGCAGCAAACCGGTAAGTGCCATCGCCCGAACTAAAAAATCAACCTCGATCGAAAGTCACTTCCGGCTGAAAGCAGGTTTATTGCGCACCACTACTCCGTCTTGATATATACTTCCAACCCGAAGATTACCCTTGAATATCTCCATTTTATTAAAATTTGTTCAGTTCATTTTGATGGACATGCACTTAGATTTCAAATATTGGCACTCGTTATGTCTCATGAATGCGTGTACTTTCCTTGCCATTGTGGTAGTGTCACAAGTTGAAGGTGAGACAGTCTCCACGTTTTTACACCAAGGAATGTTTCTTCCTTCGCAGAAATCTTGGTCTTGTTTCTTATCCAATGTAGCGGGAACGTTGCTAAGTGACCCGGTATATTTCGGTCCAACCGGTATAAGTCCTGCGCAAATGGTTGCACCAAGATGCGGTGAAATTCGATGATGCAGAATGTATTTAACACAAACACCGATGTCGGCTTTTACAGCTACAGTTCTTGGACGAGCCTTGATAGCACAACTGAACATTCATAGTTAGAAATGATATTTGTGGTTCACCCAATTTTTTATGAATCCTCATAGTCGCTAGCGCATTCTCAGCGCGCAGATTTGCTCAGGTGACGCAGTTCAACGAGCCTCCCTTGTTGCCGCAAGATCTCGTAAGCAATGAATGAATAATGAATCATTTATTGAAAGTGATAAACCATTTGGGACACCTGTGTTGGAATTTGGCTCCTTCGTTGGTTAGATGAAAAGCTGACTTGTCTTCCAATCACACAGCCACGAGCAATTCGCATGATGTCATATTATTGCTCCTGCCTTTTAACTTAATAGGAATACGATGGAGAAATATTTTGGGATCATATACGCTAACCACTGAAATCAAAGTCAGTATGGCACAATATTCCCAAAACATCCTAGTGAGAATACGATAGGCCAGTCTCTTTCAGTCCACGGTGGCTTGTGTCAATTTAGGGGACTTTAGCAAGGCGCAGTAACAAGTGCATGTATGTCTACTTACAGAAAAATGAATTTTTTTTCGAAATAAATAAACAAAAAAATAACCATCCGCAATACTGCATTCAGGCCAACCAGCTAAGGACGACAAGAGCTGTAAAATGTATCCATGGCATTTATGAATGGATGTATGAAAATTTTCTTACTCTATTAGACACGTTTCAACGGTAATGAAACGTCCTAACGTTATAATATCAATGGTGTAGCTGATGAATCTGGAGCCTAGATGAAATAGCTCATATTTGATCTGCGTAACTGGAAAGCGTCCGCCTCATCAGAGATCGGAACAAACGTGGACTAGACCAAACTCCCCATCAAACCAATAGGCTTCTTTGAGAAAACCCCAGGGTTCCAAGTAGGCAAATCTGTCTTCGCGTTCTTACAGGAAATCACTAATAGCCAGTACCAGCTTTGGTGTTCCCCACTATATATGAAAGTGATGTGGAACCTTCATGCATTTCGGGCTGAATTCGCTGGATTGAGGTGAGACAAACTCCGACACCTCATACAGTAGGTCTTATTCAGACTGATTGAACAGTGTGTGCTCATGATTAAGTTACTTGCCGGAATCATACTGCAAGGAATTTTGCGGTGTTGTGTGACACTTTGGGTATGTTATATGACTGGAGTCGCTGACCCATAAGAAACTAGGTTCAGGAATTCCTGGTACGTTCAAGTTATTATTATCATACGAAATAAACCCATGAGTGTTTTTTTAGATTTATGTGAGTCGGAAATTCAGGCTGCATAACTTTATTTTGGTACCTCAGATTACCCTGCCATTCACCTATCTGAAGCTTTAGAATGAAGAATGGATAAAAGCTGATAGAATATTCCTCCAATCTACCACATGGAACATATTTACCGTGTACATCGGTAAAATCTCCCTTTAGCGATTACCCTCTAATTAAAAAAAATCACCTTGTCTAATAATTCGCTTTGACTCTCTGAATTCAGACGTTGAGAACCACTTTGTTTGCTTTCAGTGAAGTTATTTCTGCAGCCTTCGTGTGTATACTAATTTGTTGCAGGCATGCATGCCCTATGTTACTCTTAATCTTGTGTGGAACAAATCGGGAAAGCCATAAAAAGCCGCTGGTTAATTTCACAATGTACGTGCTAAAACTTCAGATACCCATTCAACACATTAGTTGACTTACAGACAGGAACATACTCTGCAAGGAGGGAATCCAACTGCCGAACTGCAAAAGAAGAAGGGCAAATGGTAGACCGGATATGAGGCGAACATACACAAAACACACAGAGGAACATGACTGCACAAAGTGTATTCGGCACGTTTCACGCGGACCCCGTAACCTTCCCAAGAGAGTGGAAACAAAGGTGATTAGGTTTGGGTTGCGTATATTGTACCAGCAAACGATCAAATACGTTCGGTTCAGTGTAAACGGTAGGCAAACTAAGAGCAAGCTCACGGTTGGGTTTGGCGACGGAAAACTTGTCCAAGTTTGAGAGCGCGAATACCAAAAATAGGGTGTCCATTTAAGTGGGAGATCCTCGAAATATTAGCGGATTTTGTTTCCACCTCCAGTTCTCGTCCGATCCAACAGCGTCTTTGCGAGACGAATAATTAACGGTCCCGGTGACCTGCTAATAAGCCAGTTATTCTTTTTCAGAAGACATAACCCATCGCATCTACGCGAATGCGGGTGCTTTTTGATTTTACAAAGTAATTAATTAGGAGCTTGACTGGAAGCAGAAAACCAATTGAAATGCAGTAATCAGCGTTTTACCTGAACCGTGTCGGATGCAACACAGGCTAATCGATTGATGCTAGGACACAGAACAAGGAATGTTTTGCCAAAAGTATTTTAAATGCAATGAAAGCTAAAGATGCGTTTAAAATAGGAAAACACTAGTTTTTGGGAACATACAGATTGTAGTTCAGTGCTAAATATGCATGCTGCATCTGCTGAAATGTGCTGGAATACGTTCATTTTGTTCAATCTTACACAGAGTGCCAGTTGATAAAACCCGTTTTCATTTTGCTTACACCTATCTCGTATTAATAGGACACAATGCCCGAATTCTTTGCCCAAATTTGATAGACACGCAAAAATTCTGATCAGATACGTATGCACCACTTGTGTTCATCCGACGGCTTGGCCGAACTCAAAAAACTGAAAACATCTCTAACGAATTGAACGACCTTATTCCAACGTGCAGGATGTCAAGATAACGCAAGGAATACAATAAACGTTGAACCACAAAATGGTTGGCCTGAGGCGATCGCTTTGTGTGAAGGACCACCAAGTGACGACACACATTTGCAAATTAAGTTACTGATGACAGTCAATTCAACCGCTCCGCTGTCCAACGGCTGTGCTGAGCATCTATCAATAACAAATTATCTTAAGCCTATTCGGCGGCCTGTACAAGTGAGGTCCGAATGACATACAGACATTTCCTTCGAATGCCATGAAGGTCTTTGTTCTTGTAATGCGGTCCGCCAGCCTTCAACGCTCAAAGCTTTGCATATATTTGACATCAGAGAATATACGCGATTTCCAGACCATAATGCGGAAGTCGAGATATTTCGGCGCAAGACGCGATTTCCAGCGTGGAACCTCAGAATTACGAGAAAAGGGCGACTCACCACGAAGTGCTAATCAGCTCACCATTTTACATACCTACACAGACTTGTTTTCCAGTTGCATTACACTGTCCTGCAGCAGAATAAGTGAGCCAGTCAAAGCTTTGCATATATTTGACATCAGAGAATATACGCGATTTCCAGACCATAATGCGGAAGTCGAGATGCTTCGCTGCAATACGCGATTTTCAGCGTGGAACCTCAGAATTACGGGAAAAGGAGGACTCACCACGAAGTGCTAACCAGGTTAATGTTGATTGATTATCAAAGAGGAACTGCCGCGGAACTAAATTTAGTGTGTATCCTCTTGTCGGCGATCAAATGATATTTCCAAATGGAGGTTTACTGTCCAAACTTTCGGTGACCTTGGGTAGCTCACGTCCAGAACGAAATAATGCAACTCGCAAGAAAGTTAGTCAATAAGCTCTAAAGCTGAAACACTGAGTGGCAGACTGAAAAGACAGCTTCTAAATTGGTGGTTAATCTGTTGGCTAGGTAGATTCGCATTTAGATCTACATGGTCATAAATTATACTGTTATTACCAACTGATATATGCTTCCTTGCTCCTGCGAAGTTGGTCACGCCACTCCTGCGGAAGGGTGCCCGAACTGACCAAAACTTTCAGTAGTGGAGCACGCTTGGGTAGCTCACGTCCAGAACGAAATAATAAAACTCGCAAGAAATTTAGTCAGTAAGCTCTAAAGCTCAAACACTGAGTGGCAGTCTGAAAAGACAGCTTCTAAATTGGATATGTGGTTAATCTGTTGGATAGGTTGATCCGCGTTTAGATCTACAGGGTCATAAGTTATACTGTTATTACCGACTAATATGTGCTTCCTTGCTCCTCCGAAGTTGGTCACGCCACTCCTGCGGAAGGTTGCCCGAACTGACCAAAACTTTCAGTAGTGGAACACGCCCAGGAAAGCTTGCATTTCTTTTCCAACTCGCACATTTCCAACTCCCACGTCAATCAATAAGATGCACAAATCTCATGAAAAATTTGGTTGAGATTCTCCTACATTGAATTTAGTGGTTTTTTCCTGACGTTCTGTAAAACAGGGTTGGTCATAAGGTTGCTGAAAATCCATCGACAGCCCACCACCGGTTTCGCTCCTTTTGGAGTTTATCAAGTAGGCACAGTCCCCGGGTTTCCGTCAACCTTATGTTCTACTCGAAACCAAATTGCACGAAATTATATTGTCTGTAATCCTTTGTCACATTTATTTACCATTTTTTCTGAAAGTAAACTACATTGGGCACATTGCACCTATTTTATAATGACATTTGTCTTATTGTGCACATCAGAAGAAAAATGGTACCAAGACACACGTTATCGGCGCGACTTGCTGACTTTTTGCTGAATCAGTAGATTTACGTTCCGCTGAACTGTTTTCTGACTGCTGAATCAGTAGGATTAGAACCCTGTGTTTGTCTGAACTGTTGAACGTCACATTAACTCTCTGTGACTTTTCCTAGATGCGAATAACTTTTCTAACTTAGAATATACCACTGACACGTGAATTATCAGTGAAAAATTTCTACAAGTGAATATTTCTTTCACAGCCTGTTACTGCATTGTAACCGGTTTAGTGAACTATTGGATCTACGCATTCTTGAGTCCTTATCGATCGCTCATTCTTTTCCTATTGTGATTTCGTTACTTTGCTTGCTAAGGAGGCCCTGAGTCCACTGCAAAATTAGCGAATATATACTCATTTGCAAATTAATTTGGTTTTTCGAGAGACTCACCTGGAACCTAGACCTCTCGTTTGTGATGCTTCCAGGCAACTGAATGTGCTGAACCAGGTCGCTTCATGTTTCAGTCGCTAAGATATTCGAGTTATCGTGATACATGTATATATTTGTAATGTACGACGCATAAGGTTGCTGAAACCCCGTCGGCAGCCATCCAAAGCAATCATGGCTACCCACCAGCATTTCTAAAGAATTTCTAGGAACATAACATGGCTTTCCATGCAAATGAAACCATGTTAAATGAAGTTAGTTTATGTACAAAAATTACCACGACTGTGTATTTATTGACCAAAGAGTGCCATTCTGTCGATGTTCGACGCCGTAGATAACATAAATGTGGGCGCACCATGTCGTTCCTTCGGAGAATAAATCAAATTCATACGCACGTGTCCAACGTCAGAGGGAGTTCGATGATTGGTTGTTGGTCTGTTCGCCGAGCTTGCCAGTTGGGTTGCAATCGAGGTGACATCGTCAGTGCAGGGTTGAGTGCACCGTTGATGCCACCTCGATTGGTGATGAAACGTTTGCAACCCAACTGCCAAGCTCAGCGAACAGACCAACAACCAAGCAGCGTACCCGAGCTACTTACATTCCAAAGGGATGCGGATGATCGCATTTGAACAACATTCGGTGGTTATCATTCGAAATCTTGGCAACAAGCAAATACCATTCTGGCGTATCACCTCGATAACCTCCTTGGTCACGGCGGCCAACACGTGTAAGAAAATAGCAAAATATGC